CATAATAAATTATTTTGTGAATAATTTTACTGAAAATTTTTGTTAAATCAAAATTCAAAAGACTAATTTAAAACCTAATCTAAGTTCACAATATCTAAGTATTAGTAATTTAAATTAATTAGTCATTATTTATAGGCAATTAATAAATGTTTCAAACATAAAAAATACTAATAGATCTGATTTTATTTATATTTATTTTATATTTTTATATGTTTACTTGTTAGAATTATTATTATCTATAGTATAAATATTATAATAAGAAAAACTACTCATCAAATCTTGAATTAAGTATATCGACATTTAATAAAAATATATCCAATAAATATTTTACAATAAATAAAGAGATCGTTATTTGAAAAACCAGAATTTGTATCACCCCAAATCACAAAATACTGCTTAAATGTTACAACAAAAAAGATGAGAATTTAAAAATATGATATTTAAAGTATTTAAAAATTTTAAAAACCATAATTTGAATTAATTCATTATTAAATGGCAGTGAGAATTCTCCGTGAATTACCCTAAATACATAAAAAATAACAACAATAAAATGCTTTTACGTGTTCTTTTAATGGGTGTAAGATTTAGTATATCCTATTTTCGACACAAAAAAGAATAAAAGAATAAAATGTAATTTAAAAAAGTTTACTAATTGAGTTTTTAATTAATTTGAAAACCATGCATAACGTCCTTATCCTTTAGTATATCCGGACGATGGTCTGATTAGGTTAAGGATTGGTCCTCTTATCCAGATGACGGAAACGCGGTGTTTTACATGATACACTATAATGCTATAGTAAGTATGGTTTAGGTGTTTATTTGATTATCAGTTATAATAATTTAGTGGGGATATTATCTGAATAAAACATATTTTTGCTGACATAAAAAATATCTTAATTTACCACTTATTGCTATAGTAAAAATTTTATTTATGATCACAGCCCTAATATTGTACTACCTTCTTTTGTTAATGACATAAATAATAAATTGTGATTAAAAAATTAACATAAAATTCTCCTTTGTTTTTTATATTTATCATAAAAATGTCAATTGATATAATAATTTGTTAAAATGTATCTCTCATGTTGGGTACCTCGCTAAATTATTAATTTTCAATCGAGTTCATAGTTTTATTACTCAAATTCACAGGACACTATTACTTACGTAATTAATATTTAATATTTTAATTTTATGTCAGCGTAAAGTATACTTGTAAATAGACAAAAGTAATTAGGACTATATCGTTTTTGACAGATTGCATCAATATTGTTATCTATTAATGCTCCAAACACTGTAGGTACTAACTAATGATAAAGGACTATGTTTACGAATCATTCTCCCTGTTATAATTGATGTGAACAAGGTTTACATTATTTGGTTTTAAATGTTAAAACTAATTTCTGAACAATTTAAGTATGTCAGTTAATAATTCTCATTGACAAATTATCGGTGCCATGTCAACTGCAATTATTATTAATCATTGTCCGACAGTGTGGGTTCTACGCCTATAATGTAATAACTAATAAATAATGCCTAACTAAAAAACCTATCTAAATATTAATCTCGGATATTCAGAACTCAGTGTAATAATGTGTGTACTAGTTTATTAGACACACCTTTAATAATTATAAACGCAACGTTTTATTTTGAGCAATGATTAAAATTGCATTTAATACGACACACTTTGTGTATGTACTATGAAATGCTAAATGTGTAATGACCAAACTGTTTTTTTTTTTTTAATGTTGTTTTCGTTTTATTTTTGATTAATTCCTATATATTAATATATTTTAACATATTTTGCGTATAATATGTATACTACATTCAAAAGTCAAAATTAACTGAACTCTTAAAATTCTCTAGCAAAAGTCGAACTTCCCAAAATATTTGAGAAATAAATCATATTTTAACTTTTTTCCTAGCATAGCTAAATTTGATCAATCTTATTTGGAAAAATATCGTAATTAATTTTATTGTAAGATTTTATTATGATCGGTAATGATATATTCACACATAATCAATTTATCATTATTATCGTATTTTATCTACTCTTTAAATTATAGGTTTACCACAATATTATTGTTAGCGGTATGATACTAACTATATTATTATGTCATGATTAATTGTGTATAAAAATATATAAATTTTTTATTGTTAAATGTGCTATAATATGTTTTAATTCTTAATACATAATTAACATTATAATTAATATAATTTAACTTTTATTTCTATTTCTATTTATTTAATCATGTTTAATTAAAATTGTGCAATAATATTTATTTTATAATTATTTATATTAAATATTATAATACTTAAGACGTTACGATTTTTTTCCAAAAAAGTTGGTTAATGTGATATTTTCTTAAGTATTGTGTGTATTTCGCGTTTCACTTGAGTATTTTTGAGGTTTACTTGCACTAATTATTAATTTTAAAAATATAAACTAATATCGTTCTACATAAAATTTATATTAAAACTTTGACCAATTCATATTTATGTGTATGGTTTACATTCATTTTGAGGAGTGTGAGAAGCTTTGTCTTCACAATAATGCACATTTTAATAGGACAAAAAATGTATATTTTAGACTTTGACTTGTAATGTTAAAATGGCCGTTTTTAAGAAACCGGATTTTTTTAACACTATGTTTCCACAATAAATTGAATCGATATCAAACTACAAGTAGAACATCATAAATTTCGAAGTGATTGACAATAAAATATAATAGTATCATTATCTGGAATTCTAACAGAAATAAGCATTGATTAAATCAGTATTCTACTTGTGGATGGAATCCCCTGAAAGTTATTCTTTTTAACAATATGTATTTTTAATAAAAAATAAAATATTCATCTCGATAATTGTATGAAAGTATGAAACCAACATTGTAGAGTAGAGTATTAGTCTTTGTATATTTTCTATTTATTACTTGCTAATATATTTTACAATATCTAAGTGAGTTTACAATGATTAAAATAGTAATTTTTAAAATTATTCACACGACCGAGGTTTATAATTACAGCCTAAATATTTATTTATACAATTTATTTTGGATAATTTATTAGAAAAATATTTGTGTAACGATTTATCTTCTATAAGCAAAATTATTAAAACTAGCTGAAATAGAAGGAATAATATGGTTCTAAAATAAATGAGTACAAATGCATCTCATTTCCACTGAATTTTTAAAGGAGAACGATTTGCAAGTTTTAATCTGTTCTTTAACCTTTAGTTGTTCAAAAATAACCAAAACTTTTTAGCTTTATTGAATATTGGCGAAACGATTATCATTAGGAAGTTGACAACAGGCCTATAACTGAGAACTTGAATCTCCGTTCACAATCATTTATAAACATTGAAGCTTTTTAACCAATATAATTGCTGTTTTATTATTTTTAGGTAAAAATAAGAACTTAAAATGGTAAGAAAATGAAAAAATACTCTGCTATACATTAGGTATCAAGTGGAACACATCATTGAGTAGATCGATTTAATGGATTTAGTTAAATTTGAATTGAATAATAAACCTTGGTATACGATTATAAACTACTCTGAACAAATATTGTCTAAATTTTAGTAACTGTGGTTACAAAACAATTATTGTTTTAATTACAATGTTGTGTTTACGAAAAATCATATTTTCCTTAATTTTTGTTTATTATTCCCGTTTATAAAAAAAAAAAAAAATACTGGGAGTTTTCAATTTTGATCTTTTTAAAGTACAAACTAAATCTTATTTTTTTTATTCAGAACCTCGCTCATAGTTAAAATCGAAATATTTTATAGACTATCACGTATACAATCATAAAAAAACTCACATAATTATGAAATTAATATATTTATCTCTTCGCTAAGAATTTAAAAATAAGCAGATTATACTTTATTTATAGCTAAATTTGAGTACTTTTGTAAGTTATAATATAAATATACAATAATGGTTTTATAAAAAATATTAAATAAATTTTGTTTTATCACGATTTTGTTCAGTTTTGTTACTGTAATATTTATTTTTTCGTATTTATTGCTTTTTAATAAATAATTTAATTGTTGTACTCTTTATTTTTATTACTATTAGGTCAATAATTTATTTGTGAGGTTATTACGTGTTTTACTTGCTTTTGATCGTTTTAAAATGTTTTTTTTATTAAAATAATGTATTTTTATTTTCATAAAAAATATTTGTTGAGTTGTACATTCTATACATTTTACAATAATTAAATATGAGGATAACAACAAAAATACTGAGTTAAAATATAAAAAAGAATACTTTTGACAGAGTTACTTTTGCACAATTAATTATATAAATTCAAGTATTGCACAGCAAAGTGTGTCTTTATGTCAACGAACTTTATGGCATCTTGTCATATTTTCAACTTTGTTTATACTTTTGTCAATTAAATAAATTATTAAATTATATTCAAAATATATAAAATGTATGAATCGTAAGCTCAGTTTCTAAAATAAAGATTTTTTGGAGTATAATAATATTTTAAGTATAACATTCAGAAATATCTCATAAAATAACATTTCAGTATAATATATAAATTATCCAGACATTTTTAATATGTAGCTACAAGTAATTTTTTTTTTTTTTTAAATATGCATGCCTATAAATCATTGAGAATATTATTAAAATGCGTAAATAACCTATTAACCTTGATGAAATATTTAATTGGTTTTCCCACCACGGTGAATTCTAACGATTGTCAAACAATTTAGAATTAAAAGCACGGCTACACGCCTATACACCTTAATCATAGTCAAAGAAAAATTTTTGTAGGCCTCGAAATTTGAAAAATTATAGATGAATACTGTTTTGTGATAATTTTTCTATGAGTATAGTATATTTTCAAAATTCAAAAATCGACCTAAATAATTAATATTTAATATTATGACGTGATACAGCAGTAGATACGCGCGTATAATACATGTGTGCGAAAGTTAACATAGCGGTAGCATATTATTATAATATCGGAATGTTATTTTCTCGGTGTTTTCAGGCAGATGGTGGCTGGACTCCAGCCGGCGTTGACGTGGTCAGCGGCACGGGCAAACACCGAATGGCGGTTCTCGTGAGGAAGTCGGCGCCGGGATCGCCCACGCCGTCGTCGGCTTCCAGTTACGGTACCGCGTCATCCGGTAACGATCTCATCGCCAGCGCGTCCAGCGCATTGCGCCGGCTACACTTCAAGTCTGCCGGCGCCCAACGCATGCTCAACCGGTCCAAAATGGTACAACAACAGCAGCAGCACTTGCAGCCACAGCAGCCGCATTCGCTGCAATCGTCGCCGGTGCCCAAGCTCAAGGTGCTCGGGTCCAGCTCGGTGTCCATAGAATCGTCGGCTACGGTCAACACCAGCACCGATTCGTCCGCGGCCACCATGACCACGGTTACCGACGACACGGAAAACGAGGACAATTTCGAAAACCCGGTGAGTACAACTAAACGACTATTGGCATTATATTCTTGTGATATGACTAGACGACGTGAGGTTCCGCGAAACCTTCCGCTCTACCGAGAAAACAGTTAACACGGTAGTAACCCGTACACGACTAACAGTTTGATGCGTAAGTCGTGTGTGTAAGACAGACGTGGTACAGGAATTCAATTATTTCTGGTTGGATAATATTTTATACAGTTACAGTACGATTGGCCAGCGTGGTAACCCGACAAAATTGAGTGACCGCAATGTACTATTATACTCTGAGCCACCGATGTTTGGGTACCGCATGTCCGCACAACTATGCAAATGATAAAATCGAGATTAAACGAATTTGTTGATTTTAAATATTGTAATTTAAAATGTAATATTATTTAATTAAAGTCATCTGAAATTACATTCCAAATCAATATTTTACACAAAAATAAATTACCGTATGTAATTTCAGTATGAAATCTGTTGGTTCAGTTTGAAAATTATACCTTATAATTTTTAATGCCAAATAGTATATTTAGTAATTAAATACTAAAATAGTGAATAGTTATGTACTACAAGACGAAACTCTTATAAACACTCTAAAGATAATGTATACTAAAATTATCTGTGCTCAATATAAAATAGAATTTAGTTTTAAAGGAATTGTCTAAATCGCATGTTTAGTATAGCATGAAATATATATAGAAATAAACAATTATTGTAATACCACACCAGAGCAAAAAAAAAAAAAAAAACAATCTTGCTTTAAAATGATTCTAAAAAACTAAAAATAAAAAAAACCATTTAAACATACTACACTTTTCAAAGGCGTTAGGGGAATTATGTGCATTATACCATAATTAAATCCACAAACACAAGCAAGGATATATTATACATACTATACTGTTTTGACCCAATGTTTGTTTGAAAGTGGATATTAATCCAAGCATATACTACTTTGCCCATTGTAATACCTCACAAAGAGCATTTGAAAATCAATTCCCCATCGTCCAATTTTTATTATCCGAGATTATTATAGGGTAAATAAAAAGAATGTATACTATTTTCCCTTAGTGAATTTGATTAGTGACACGCTATTTCAATATACCTGTAGTATGTTTGTTTGAATTCAAATATTGTATTGTTGTTATTCAATACCGAATATTTTCCCGTAAAAGTGTTTTTTACTTGCTTTAATTAAATTCTATTGGATATTTTTTAATTGCTGTGTCAAATACATTTTTCAGTTTAAGCAATTAATTTAATTTAACTTCAGTGATTTGCGAATACCTAACGCATAAAGCTACGTTAATTTAAATCCCAAACGAGCATAACTTTTTTCTTTTACATCAACAAATAGAATATGATATCGATTGTTACAGTCATTTATTTATTTATTTATTTATTATATTTGACATTCATGACGATGAATATTGAAACAGAAAATGCAATTCCATAAATGTCATATTTTTTCATCATAATAAAAAAATCATTAGGCGAATCATTCTTTCAACCCCGAAAAATATTCTATTGACAGTTACAATATTTATTAGCACTATATGCAAATATGTATGATATGAAAATTTCTTCACGTGTCTACTGAACTATATTTTTATCTTTTATTTTGTATTTAAAATATATTATATTAGATATACAATTTTTTTCAAATTTAATAATATAAAAAATAATATTTATTACCTATTTATTTTATTTTTTTAATTTTAAGTGACAGTTTAACTTTAAGCTTTAAAAAAAAAAAAAAATGAAAAATAAAATATTTAATATTTGTAGCATTTATACTAAATTTAAATTTCAAAGAATTAAATAAAGTAAAACATAAAATTAAAATTTTGATCTAGTTATAAAATATAAACCTAAAATACATTTATGTAAATGCAGAAAAATGTGAGTAAGTGCTCTTCGCGTGCATTAAGTATAAATTACATCACATAGTATCATATATTATACCTAATACCAGACATATTCACTATTACACAAATTACCATAAGCTACCTACTATTAAAGCTAATATAATATTATGTTTGATATTCGATTTCTCTTTGTATCTCTTCCAATCTCGTTATTATAACCATTCTGGGAATATTATTATTACCAACATTTGATTACCTCGTGTAGGTACTCACATTGTATGCTTGTATGTATTATTGCGATATCCATAATCCTGTGTTGAATACTGGCATTTAGGTCGATTTGATAAGTACACTTTACATTAGTAAGTAAACCATGTACATGTAAATTTCTATAATAGAATAAAAACTAGATGAGTTTGTATTCCTGTACCACTTTAAAATTGTAAGTGTTGGTTTCTACATAAAACTAGACAAATCTTCTTATTGTTTATTTTAAACCTATGTAACTTACGGTAGGTACTCAATGATACTAAAATATGTTTGTTTTTGTCTTAGTATGGTTTATAAATATTAAAATATTCATATTTTTTCACAGATATTATAATGAATACTTAATATGAATATTTAGTGATGGAAAGTTCATATAAATTCCTACGTATGATATTTTTGTAAAATCAATAAAAAAATTTGAATAATACTTGGTAGAATTTCGAACTTGAAATGACTACGAGTATAACTGTAAATTTTAATTGTTTTACACCAATTTCTGAAGAAAAAAAGTATTTGTGTTACATTTTCAAGCCTTAACTAAAATAGTTTTACAAAAATAAAAATGTTACTAAAAAAATGTGCACATTCTCATGTTTTTTTTTCAAAAAGTTCTTTTGTGACGATGTATTATTGATAGTTTTATACTTTGCAGTTTATTTTAATTAAAAAAATACACATCATTGTAATTATATAAAAAAAAATGAAATTAAATATCTATAAATTATACAAACAAGACTAATTATTTTGAAAAAATGTTTCAATACTTTTTATTTTCTAAACGTATTCATTGAAACACTTATAAAAAAATTGCGTCTAAATATTATTAATTATTGTTTTTTGACATACGAATACAATCAAATACCAACGTCAGGTAAATTCAATTTTCTATAACAAACCAACACCAAAATTTAATTTTGAATTTTTACTTCTTTTAAATGTAACTTCAGATAAAAAAAAAAAGTACATTATTGTAAGAGCAACAGAATCATTGCTCCATTGAAAATGTAAAGATTTTATATTGCGTATCATGAAAACTCAGACATAACATTAATAATCATACAGCATTTTAAAGAAATGTAATCAATTTTTTTTTACTGAAATAATTTGATGATAGATAATAGATTATTAAAATTAATATATTTTAATAAAGGTAGTTCAAATGTCATAATAAATTACAATAAACTGTTATATAATCACATGTGTTTATTGTTTTGAGTTTAAAAAGAACGTACAGAAAAATAATATTGATCGTGCAATAAACATGTAATAACTAATAGTTCTAATAGCTATCAATAAGTTCACGATGGACAATGCTTTGATTATTAATTGGTTCTATTATAAACTTTTGTTAGTTCGAACCAAAAATGCGTATAATTCCGAACCTGTTAGACGAAGTGCTCAACGGCACTCAGTCTTCGTCATCTGCAGAAAAGGACGATGAATTTTACAGCGCGTCTAGTACGGAGGAACAGCCCAGGGATGATCCAAAAGCCGTTTTCACCGTCCAGGATACCGCGCCCGAAGAATACGAGGACAGTGGAATGCCACTGATGCAGTACACTACGTTGCCGAGTAGCTTTCACCATCATCACCAGAACAACAATAACTACAACAACAATAACGACAATAAAACGAACAACAACTACGGGAAAGACGGCAGTGCTATGGAGCAGAACACCATCGCGGAAGTTGAAGACTTTAGGCCAGCCGATAGAGACAGGAGCGCAGACGATGACGCAGACAACACGCTGGAATGGCGTAACATCATGAAGCGGCAAGCGCTGCTCGAAAATCTTCACCGTAACACCATCATAGCGAATAAAAGGTAAGTCTAAGACTCAGAGCTTATAAATAAATTATAGACCCTTAATTTAATAATACAAAAAACATGACTCTTAATCTATCATAAAAATACTTCGTATTTCATAATATTATTAGCTTTTGGTTTAAGTTTTTTTTCTCTTCGGTATCAAACAACTGTTTAAATAAATTAATCTAATACACAATTAAATTAAAAATTATATAACAGTTAATTAAAAAATAAATAAAATAATGCTATTCATATAATTTTTTAAATAATTTTACCATAGTCTGGAATTTGTATCACTTATAGTTAGGAGATGTATTAGGATGCATGCATTTACATACCAGTAATTCTCTAGGGTTTTACATATAGGTCAAAATGAATTGAATTTGAAAAATACTTAAATATTTGACTAAACGTTTTGTACCCTGATAAATGTGAACTCATGAAATTCTAATATTATGTACACTTAGTTTGAGATAAAGCGAGGAAATAAACACAATCGGTACCCACTAAAGGTTAACGACTATAATATTCTTAGTAACTACCTAATACCTACAATGAATACTCAAAGTACCCACACATTTAATGTCTAGAGATTATTTTGCTAAAAAGTATATTCTGCTATATAATGGGTAACTCTAGTAAATTATGCAACTAATGCATGTAAAAATGTTGAGCTAATAAAATAAAAACCATAAAAATATAGCTAGCCTATTTATAGTGGTTTAACTTTTATGTGATTCAGAGGGTTACCTTCTCCCTCATGGCTTCATATAAGTTTAAATATTTAAATAAACATTAATAATAACTAAATACAATTTTACTTAAAAAAATAAATAAATATATTTAACCAATAATGTTATTTTAGAATAAATTAAAAATTTAGGAAACACAATTTTTTAATTTTTTAGAATATTTTATATGCCTGATAAAATTTTTTAATCTATCAAATAATGTTAATAAATTATTGTGATTAATCTGGCAATTATGTTTTTAACAACATATCATTTTATATTATTGACATAAATATGTCTTACGTTTGGAGATGAAAACTAAAAAAAGAAACATTTTCAAATGCACAATCAAACATTACTATGTTCAATTTTGACAAACACAAAATTATATTTCATAATTTTCCTATCATGAACCATTTCTTAGAATTACTTGTTAATATTATGCTATCTAGCATACCATATTAATAATCTTATGCTTTTCCCAAAGTAAGAAATTCAAGATTTTATTTGTAATTGTGCGTTAATTTAATAACGGCATATGACGGAAATATTAAATATTTCAGTTAATACATATTATTAAATAAAGGCTTTATTTATCAACTTTTCCCAGGAAAAGAACTAAAAAATATAAAATACATGGCTTAGTTTATTTCCAATTGAGTGAAATACTCAACTAAATTCATAAGCAAGTTAATGTCGGTTAGATTAGGTATCTAGCTGTGTGGATTCAACCAAGATGAAGACCTAACCTAACTTAACCAATGCTTAGAACATTTAACTGTACAAGACATTTAAGATATTTTCTATTGCTTACTTTTGTATGAAAACGGTAAATGCAATTATTAGAAATAAAAAAAAAAAAAATTTCGTATTTTAACGATAAAATCCATTTGTAAACTTATATTTAAGAATTGAATTCTAATACAAAAAAGTAACCTAAGTTACCTACTCAATGCTAGGTATTTTACCTGCCAGTGAAAATTTCATCAAAATCGATACAGACATTTGAAAAATAACCCTGCAGACACTTCAATTGTGTTTATATGTATAGTAATATATAGGTAGAGATTATAAATTACGATAAGTAATACTTTCGCTTCACTTTTATAAAACGTTCTTCCAGGAAATATAAAATGCTACATAAGAATAATCTTATAAATAAACGATATTACTAACCAAACCCAATTTTTTAATAAAAAATATTTTCTTATTTTTCAAATATAACATCTTAAAAATATATTACTTACGATAACCATTATTGTAATCTTCAATATATGCGTGTGTTTTTAGCTACATTATTTAGTTATTTACCTTTTAGTTTGAATTATTCTGAGATAATGCCGAGTTTCTATACTTCTAAAAAAAAAAAAAAAAAACATAATAATATTTAATATTCGTACATTAACTTATATTTTAATAATTTAAAAACAAAAGTAATTTAGAACTCAAGAATTAGAAATAATTGGAGTATACATTTTAGTACATAAATCATAATTCAAGAAATTAAATTTGAATATTAAACATTCAAATGTATTAAAAATTAATAAAAAAAATATGCCTATTCATAAAATGTATAGTATATATAATTACAGCGATAGATAATATAATATTTTATGCAATGGCTATTTAATGGAAATTGTTTTCTACAATTTGAACAATTTTATAGTAAAAATTTTCCAAGAAACTACTTATTATTATTGGTTAATTTAAAATATTTTAAACAATATAGATACTGATTTTATAATTAATACATATATTTAGATTAAAATTGCTTTCGAGGAGATATGCTAAAAGTCGATTTGAAGAGGACCGAACTCGAACAGAGATCGGTCGAAACTCATCAGGTTTCGCTGCTGAACAAATGACCATCGATAGCGAAGACTCTTTCCAAGTGGACAATGGATCTCCACCAATTCCTTCGTCACCGACTGGTCTTCCAGAGTCACCTACTTGCGACGATGAATCATCACCTACAAAGTCAAAACAACATTTTACGTTCCCCACAGTCAACGAAACAGATGAACCTAATGAAACAAATAAAAGGTATGAAAAATAAATTATTTGCAAATATCTTTAAATATTGAAACAATATTATAATAAAATATAGTACTTACTAATCGCAAGTTACCTTTAAATGTATCGTTTCAAATGTACCTTATTTTAAAAACTGTACTTCTTAAATTTTAAAATATAAATCAAATATATTAAAATTAAAATATTTATTTTACTCTTGAAAATATGATTGACGATTGTTCTACATAAATTATATGAAGTGTATTTGTCATTTGGTAAATATAATACTATGCTTTATGTTTAAATCAAAAATCCCGAATTTGTAAAATTTTCCTAATATCTTGGGATAAAAAATTCCAACTGCAGAAACAATTATTTTTAACTCTTATACCCCAAAAGTAATCGGTTATATCTATTGTACTTACGAGTGTAAATATTTGCCGTTCTTAGTACGTGTTCAACAAATATAGAAAACATTTTTACCTTATTTCGTCCAAACTAATTTATGTTTTTTTATATTTATTTAATGTTTCATTTTTCAAACTTTTGAATCCCTGAATAATTATAGATAATAATATATGATTGTTAAATTATTCAATAACATTTTTACCAACTTAGTCTATACTTTAATGATATTAAGTCTTACTTCTTCAACTTGTTATGCCACAAAAATTAAATACATTGTTTTAATTTACCTTTACCATATTTTATTCATTTTAATTCATTAAAGTCATTTTAATTTATAAACGAATATATTTAAAATTTTATCGACAAGATTACTTACGACATAGACTACTTACATACTTTTGTGTATTTGATACGTATTCAAGTTGTTTGCATTTATCCTAGTAATTACTCATAGTTAGTAGGGAAATTACACATAAGACATTTTGCATTTAACACTGAAACACGCCAGTGAATATTTCATAGGAAAGATTAGTTAACAATATTATATGATTAACATTTGACTGTAAATTGCAATATATTATTATATTTGGTAATATTATTAATGTACAATAATTATAGATATTTTGTAGTTATTTTGATAAAAAGCCACATCTAAAATTTAATTTATAGAACTCAATTAATTTTGAAAACATCACGATTAAAAACAATTCATTTTTTAACCCTTGATAATAATATATATTATAATCAAGTTGCTTGTTTAATAATAAATAGACATTTTGCATGTTAAATTTGCTAATCCGTTTGTCAATTTATCATTATTTACTTATTGGCAATATCGTTAAGTTTTAAAGTAATTGTCGCTTTTGGGTAATTAATTTTAACATTCATTATTTATCTTATTTTAAAGCAGCTTAATTTATACTGGTCACAATCAATATTTACATCGTTGAATTTATAATAATGGCAGTCATTCTATTAATATCAATAAAATTAAATATATATATGCATAACCTAATTTTAATTTATTTAAATGTATAATATCACAAACAATAATTGTATATTCTTGAACTTTATTTTGTGAATAATTGATAAAAATACCAGAATCAATAATTATTGTTGGCACCTTTTCAATACTCACATTTATTAACTCTTAGTGAGTACTCATTTCATAAGTTATACACAATACATTGAATTGAACTTATACAAATTAAAATAATATATCCAATTAAAGTTATGACTTAAATTATAAAATTATAACCAAGAAAATCGCAAAAAAAATTTATTTTATCTTCGTGTTTAATAATATACTATTTGTATAATTAAAATATCAATATATATATATATGAATCATACTATATTTATATTCAAATAAAAATAAGTTAAAAAAAAAAACACTTTCATTCTTAATAAAGAAATATTTAAAATAATATAATTCTTAATGAACTTTGTTATTACTTGACATTTTATTTTTCAAATATATTTCCATAAAAACATATCAATGAAATACAATGTTTATAAAAAGTTTAAAATTATAAGTTATAGTCAATATAAATTATCTAAAAAAAAATTAATTATAAAACACGATAAGATTACAATATGATTTGTATTCATTTTCCTTATGGTTATAATTTCATATAATAGATTTTTTGTGTAAAATCAAAGTTATACAAAAAGAATCTCATTCTAATATTATAAATATAGGAAATAATTAATATTAACACATATTTCTAAGAAATGTATGTACGTTAGCATGCATCACATATTTCGTCACATCTTTATAAGTATTGGATGCATGTAGTAATTTATTAAAAATGATATAATACAACGTGTAAATTAAATTGATAAAATAACGCAGGTACAAGAAATTTACACCACAAATATTGTTCGTGGATATCACTAGATTAATTACTGTTGCACAACTATGATATGTCAAAATTAATGGTTACTAATGATAGTATAATACACTATATACGCGTTAAAAGATTTTGCTATCCATTAATAACAGTATTAAAATCAAATTACTAAACTATGTGTGTTGATATAGAAAGGTATTATATTTTCAATTATTATTAAACAAAAATGAATTTTTCATTTTGTTTGAGTTATTACGCTAAAAGATAAATTAATCGTTATCGTTTTTTTTTTTTTTGCTTTACTAAAATATAGAGGAATTTTGATTCGTTTGTATAATATAATTACTAACAACCACCAATAATACAACTATTTGTTTTTGTTTTTTTTAAATATAACATTCTCCATTTTTATGTTTACTACCTGCATTTTGCACTAGTTATCAAGTAAATTTATTTCTCATATTCGAATACCCAATTTTAATTCATTCGTAGTCTTAATGGTTTCTGTGATATTTAAGTTTCAAATTTTAAATTAAAAAGAAAAAAAAAATTATTTTCAAAAACAAATTTTTATTTGATATTCATAATGTTAAAATACGCCTATAAAAATTAATTAAATATCATGTATTTAAACCAAACACTATTCATTAGTAATATTTTAAACGTTAACAATACTCGATAAGTCGCAAATGATCGTATTATTGAAATCAGACTTTTAATTATTAAAATCGTCATCAAATAAGAAATCATAATAATGATGAACGTTTCATTATTGAATACAATAGGAGCTGTTGTTTGGAAGCGTCGGATGCATTAACGCGGAAAGTAGGTATATGTCTTGTCTTTTTCTTTTATTTTTTGGATTTTATCCGACCAGGTCATACGTAGAGAGTCATGTTGGCTTTGAATCACTCATGTGCGCGTTGTAGAAGTTCCCCCACTAGATAATTTTTTTTCTACTTTACAAATTGCATCCGTATGGATAGCACAGCCACGTACCACGACGTCGTGGATCACTGTAATACGTGTGCTGCGTATCACGAACACTAAAGGGGATTTTAAGTTATTAGAAAAGATAAACACGATTTTACCTATACTATACTATACTATATTTTACTATAAAGATTTACGATATTTACGAATGATTGTTACGGGACTTTACACGGTTTCCAGGAGGCCGTCGACGGTTTACAGCCGGACACCGAACTGGAACAACAAGGAGCGAAAGGGCTCGGCGGTGCTACTAGATGCCTTGGTCATCAACAAGAGCCAATCGGCTGCGGTGGTCATGTCGGATACGGGTCAAGTAGCTACAATTGTCGTCCAACAGCCATCGCTCTCTGCCAACTCACCCGAGCAGGGGCACGAAGGGTGCCAGACAGCGCCCGTCGAACTTCCGATTGATTTTAATCGGTGGCCGGACTTCGCCAACAGCATAAGTTCGCAACAGTATCACGATTTTCAGATGAAGTGAGTTGTGTCAATGTACTATTTTAAGCATGCAATATTTCAAATTAGGTTTTGCATTCCGGTATTTCGGACTTTTTGACAGTCGATATAATTACATTTTATTAACGGGCATATGTGTAAATTTTTCCCAATGATTGGATATCACAATCCTAAATTGTGCTCGACAACAAATAATTATTTCAATTTTTTTTTATCCATATAATATTAGAAATTATTTCGTTATATCAAGTGAAATGCTAACTTTTATACTTTAAGGTTGTATACCGTGCAATATGATGAGTTTTTTTTGCCACAATCTTCTCACTGCCTGAAAAATATTATTGAGAATGTAATTCTTTACAACTGTTCATTATTACTGAGACGTGAAATTAATAAAGCTAGTCTTGATCAAGTGAATTTCAAATTTTTGCTTAACAATTAATTATTATTTTATAACGCCAAGTATTGGCTATAATTTTTAATACAAATGATATATTAGTGATTACTATAATATCTGTAGATAAATATGCGAAAAATCGTGCATTTATAAATTGATATTAGGAGGTCAGTAATTAAATGTGCATTAAGAGACAAACATAAATAAAGAACAGAGTTATTACTTATTAAAGAAACTTGAAATTTTACTTTATTCAGGTAACTATCTCGTATCATGGAACCTTTTAATATTTTATTGATGGATTATAAAAATTAATTGGAAATTGATATCGGCCGACTGTGCCGTATTTTATGTCGAAACAATTTGTATAAATAATAAACCATTCAAATAGGAATAATACAATATTTAAAAATGACTGTATGTTTTTTTTAAGGAATGTTTAGTGTTTTTAATACTTATTTTCTTATGAAAAATTTAAGTGAAAACGAATTATCTCACTATAATTTATATAGTCATACATACATTATTTATATACTATAAAATATATTATTTATTTATTATGATTTTCAATTATTATTAAATATCTATAATTTATTTTTATGCTAGAACAAATAATATTAAAACAAATAACACAATATTTGACTTCTCCGGGACTTCAATGTATTTACTGAATTTTCAATTCTAAAGTAAATAAATCACTACCCTTTCCTCCCAATGAATCCTCAAAACTTCAAAAAAAAAAGTCTGTGAACAAAATATAATACTACAAAAATATTAACTATTGATTTTTCTTGGTATTAATATTAAACAAATATGTCTTTCTGATATCAAATTTAGTTAATTCAATTCAAATAAAACAACATATTGACTTAATTCATGAATTTTTTCAACTTACTTAATAAGGTTACAGAAAATGGCATTTTATTAAAAAAAAATTTAAAAATGTTTTACTTATTCTAGTTGAATTCAATGACAATAACTCTGATTAGTTAAAATCGTTATAAAATAAAAGATTTATAAGTATTCCTAAAATATAACAAATAACATAAAAATATAAATTCTTACTAAATTTTTGATAGAAAATTATAAAATTATAAAATTTAATAGTTAACAATATAAAACACTTAGAATATCTGTAACTTTTTTATTCTATTAGTTGAATTTAAGATTTTGGGATATACATTTATTTATTTTTTAAACCTAAATCTTCACTTCCTAGCATGTTTGTGTCTACAGGTTAAAAAATGTATTTTATTTTATAAATGTGATAGAGTTCAGAGTTTAGAAACTAAAAAACCTTTTGACCATTTTACTGAAATGTTCCTTCATTTTCACTTTTTATTATCGTTTTTTCGTTTAAGATTGTAAAAGTTATTGTTGCTCATTAAAGTGTGTAAGTTTTATTGGTTTTAAAATCTCATTCTGTGATGTATTAGATTGTAAGACTTAATTTCATCAAAAACTTTTATTCGTGTTCTTGTATTGTATATCTGATTTTTAAAAAAAAATTTACATTTTTTTCTTATAGAAAAATAAACAATATATTCTTCTGATAAATATTAATGTATGTAATAAAACCATATTTCATAATATAATGAACTGTGTTTAGATATATCAGCAAAAACTATAAAGTTATTAGATTTTAATGATTTCTATCTCACAATATTGTAAGATATAAAAATTTTAATTTGCACATTTTTTGAACGTCATATTATTTCAAAAACTTCTCAAACAAAATATGAGATGGTTATATTTTATTATTCATTTTATTTTTTATTTATTTATTAAAATTCTAATATGTTTTAATATTAATATTTATTTTTCTGTAACTATTAAAATGGTTTGATAAGATCTATCTCCTTTTCAGTCAATATAGATTTCATCTATGTTTTATAATTTCTAATATACAAAGTATATAAACGCCAATCAGTATTAAAATATAACCTGGCGAAACAGAATTTATCAATTTTAGTAGAAATATTGTTTAAGTAATTATGGTTGAACCAGTAAGTTATTGATCATAAATTTAAAATTATATGTTTAATATTTGTATGAAAATAATTCTAAGTTATAAGAATATAATTTTTAAAAACAAAATATATTTAATAACAAATACCAAGAAATATAATATTAATGATATTAAATTTTGATAATGAAAATTTGGTTGAAAAATCCATCAATTATTTTGCCGTCAAGTAAATATACTTTGAAAACATAGTTAGTTTTAATAATGATTTTAAAAAAATGAATACAAACTTAGCAATTTTTTTAAAGGAAATACTCCCTATAAAACTTTCTTCAAAATTAATCCAAGAAATCTAAAAAATTATTTGTATAACATAGTGTTATATTATATAAATTTATGGTAGATTAGTTACTAATTAAAATTGAAAACCAGGATGGTCTAATATTTTATTAACTTTAATAAATTTATGATACTTATAATTTGAATATTGGATACAATGGATCCACTAGTTGGCTATATTTATATAAATTATTTTGAAAATAATTAAATAATATTGAAATACATTTATTGTTCAATAAAACATATTAAATTATTCAAAAATCTTAATGACTTAGTGCTATAACTGCACTTGATAATATTTTTTAATATTTTTGAAATGGTACAATGCAGTTTATAATATATTTGACTGAAACACGAATTTACATACCATATTATATATTTGACTTGAAAAATATACGATTTAAGTTTGAGCATTCTTTTTATAAAAAAAAAAAAGTATTTACTAAAAAAGTGCTCAATAAGAAAAAAGAATATGATTGTTATACCAACAACCGCATTATTTGTATTTTTAAATCAACGGATCTCAGTGAACTCTAAAAAAAAAAATGTATTGAAAATTCTTACTATAATAAATTATAAGGAAAAAAAATATTATACTTTCAGGGTGTACAAAAGGGACATTTTTTAACTTAAAATATAATTTAAATGTTATAAAAATTGTTATTGACGAAATGTACAAAATGCTCGGGAAGTTGACCTATGTTTATGTTTTTAAAAAAACATCGGCTTTGTCATGAACTGTAGTTTTTATAATGTATTTTTTTCCCATCACACTAAACTGTCCATTCATTTAACCTTTTGCGAAGAAAAAAGAGAATCATTAATCAAGCTTTTTTTATGGCCACCGCCCGTAAAAGGACGAAAGACCCGCTTTACCCTGATGTAAAATGAAGGGTTTGCGCATAACCTATATTTACAAGTTTCCATGTCAAATTTAATAATAGCATCATTTTACATGTGTGCATCTAGTTATTCTACTTTTCATTTTTTTTTTATACTGCGTGCATTTTACGATGTGACTTTACAAAACTGAAACTGCAGCTAAGAGCAATGAACTGTTTGGTTTTAATGTTGTATCATGTGCTGCGTAATGATTTACGACTTGGCAAAAAATACGAAATGCCTATAACATTTTTAATGGCAGCATTAGTAAATTTCATAGTAAACACGGGTTTAAAAGTCTCGTATAATTTATTTAATATAAATTTAATACTAAACCAATATATTTTATTGACTTATTATAAATAACACTAAAATATTTATGAAGAGACTTTCGTATATTATTTATATTTCTCCAGAAATCACATCATGCACGTTATATTGTTTTATCAATTAGGCATATTAATATTATGTGTGTGACGTGATACACAAATATTGTGCAATTTTAATCATAAGCAACTAATTATTTTTTGGCTATCATAAATGTTTTTAATTTATATGAAAATTGTTATGACATTTATTATTTATCAACATTTTAATTTTATTAATGTTTTGTATTTTATTTTTTATAAAATACCTATAGTTTTGAACTTTAAGTGGTGTAAATCAACTTTGAATTATTTTTATGATTTTATTATACATATTAAAGTAAGCAGGAGTACATACTGTATGTCTACATGCATTAATATATTTTCCGGTAATGTTAGAATCATATGTCATATGTTATGTTATAAAGTAAATAACCAAATAGGTACATTATATTATTATAATTTATAATAATAAAATAAAGTAGAAAATATGATATCATATTTAAATATATTCAGAATTTATTTTTAGTTCATCGAAGACAAATAGTCTTTACGAATTTACCAAGGGAATCACGTTTCCATGGTTTTATTTATTGAAAACTTCGCGTCTTCGCGTAGTTCACCATCTTATATAATATTATGATGACATTTTTTCGAAGAATATTTTTCAATAAAAAGAACAAACTATTTAAGAAACACGATTTATATTTTATATCACTGAAAATAATATTTTTATATAAATAACTCACAAAAAAAAAAATAATAACAATGGAATTCATATATTATGCATAGGTAGTACTTATTTAGAGATGATGAAATGTGACAATACTAAGTGCAAAACTTACATAACTATTCGACATATTCTTATAATAATGTCTAAAATTGTATGCAAATATTGTAAATACAACTCAATTATAAGTATTAAATGGGTATTTATCTTATTTTATTTTATTTTACGTTTTATTAATTTTTTCTATAAAACCAACTATCGATTACATTATATTATAATATACATAACGTAATGAAAAATCATTTCAAAATTGAGTTCACAATGAAGACTGTAGTGAGTTCTTGAAAACAACACTGCTCTTTTCTCATTTTAAACTGGTATGATAAAACAGTATAAACCTCCCTTTCTCACAATTACATTCATTGGATGGATTGCAAATTCGTTTTATGATCCATAAAATGGCCTTTGTAAAATGTTATATAGAATCATTTTTCTTATTATTGAGTTTTGCGTTGTTAACAGTGTACATTTCAATGTTTGTTTGTTAGCTATTACATAATTGGTTTTACGTTTATAATAATTGTGTAATTTTTTTCACTGATTCACAACGCTAGGATTACATTCATCATCATTAGTATATTAAAAAAATTATATTTTTCTGTCATAAAACAATAAAATAAAAAAATAAAATACAAGCGTTTTTGATAAATATAAATTCAAAAATCACAAATATTTTCTAATATTCCTTATTTCTAGATATTAAATAAAAGATCTGTTTTTTTTAGGGTTTGTAACTTTATTGACAAATAAAAAATAAATATTTTATTTACACTTGAAATATATTTACTTTTTATTCTCAAATATGATAATTAACTTAATTATTTAATAATGAGTAGACGATTTTAAATATTTTTATTTAAAAACAATATGCATGGGAGAGGAATGTTTACAATATAAATTTAATTTAATCTTTATCGTTCTTTGATCTATAGCATGTATGATATAGTATATTAGCAGGAAGGCTAAGTATAATAATTATTGTTGTTGTTATTATTGAGATATAAATAAAACCATTATGTTTGACTCAATATACCCCGAAGCATATTATATTGATTTGAAATTTAATAACAATATTATAATATACTATATATTTTATAATACTATTTCGGTTATTCATTTTGATTGCTTTATGTGAAATACAATATGTTTATGATTTATACAAGTTGCACGCTCTTTTAAAATAAGACATCAAAGTGACATACCATAATAACGTCCACCCAACTATATTAAAAACGTCAGTTTCTGGGCAAAAATATAAATAAATAAATAATAATTTCAAACAAATGACGAAAACCTATGACAGCTTTAAACCAGTAAATATTATATTTTCTATAAATATTATTGGGAAAATCCACTGAGACACTTTCATTTATTATTAATTTACGTGTGCACGTTATTGGATGTGCTTGTCAACACACAAAGATCTAAAATATTCGTGGCAATAGAGACAGCATAATAGGGTAAATTTGAATGAACACGACAACGGCTGCCTTTCTCCAGTCTGTAGGCGTTAAGTTAATGGGTACAGTATATTAAATTAACGAGACTCTGTTAATAAACTAAGACCTATTAACTCATCCTTTGATAACTAACTTATGTAAAATATATTAAACATTAAGAATATCGAAGTATATAGACGAAAGTATATCAATATTTTATTGTTTTGTTATTTTTCGGAAAAAAAGGTATAGGTGCATTAAATTCTAATACGAGGTCAGTTAAATTATAAATATTTAATTTTAAATTAAAAAAAAATACATACCCATACATCAAATAAAAAAAAAAATAGTGGGTCGACAAATGTATATTTTACAGTCAAAAAAACTTAAATCCTCTCATCAGTGGCACTTAGTTCTTTATTATATAAATTAAAAATTATACGTAACAATTTAATAATAAGCAATCAAACATATTGAAAATCAATAAAATATATGACGCTTTCATTTTTTATATTAATGACTCTTCAACACTTGGATGTCTTTCTATAGTGCACATATTTGTATTCTATAGACATGTCTAATGTCCATAGATGATTAATTGCTGCATACAAACGACATACTACATTTATATGAATATATACAACATTTTTTCTAGCAACAAAATATTCATTGTAAATAATCATTCAAAGTTTATCGTATGGGATACTTCACTGTGTTTAATAAAACGGTTGAAAACAAATTTCATTGGTTATTCAATATTTTTAAGGGTTTTTCTTCCCTATTTGGCGTTTTCATGACTACTCGACATTCCCACGGGATTGTGTTGTCAATATGAAACAGCGACGGGGTCATTGCAAAATGTCTAAAGCTATAATCGAAACGAATATAAATCTAGTATATTTGCGCTTTGAAATAGTTGAGACAAATGAAAGAAAGTAGTTTTTCTAACATGTATAGTTATGTCTGGCAAAGTATTGAGTTATCAAACGCAGAATAGAATAATACCTATTATAAAATTTATTATAAACACGCCATACAGTAAAATAATAGTATATAATAATTTGAGCTGTAAAATGTTGATTAAAATAAAATAAAAATACTGATGAAGTATGATATAAATTTAAATACCAGCTTAACTTTTGCAAAAAATGTGATACATTTATACTAAATTTACCTTTCTTCATTAGTTTAAATTTTATTTTTTGAAATCATGAATGTTTGAGCAAATATGAATAATGGCATTATATTATTTTATAATTCACTCGGTTTTTTTTTTTTAATTTTTACAGAATTAATGTTCTAAAAAATAAAAATTATATTTAAAATATTTATATATATATATCATTTTAAATATACGGAATGATTAAATAAGAACATATAGTAAATACATGGTTTTGGTTTCACAACTATTATAAACATGTATGGTATTGTATAATATAATAAACCAAATTCCTATTAACCATCTGTTGATAGATTTTTAATTTATAACATACTTTTAAATATTATATTTAACCAATTACTACAATAGTATATCGTTATTACTTATCATCTGAATGAATAATTGAAATACTATAAAAATCATTTTTAGATTATACAACAATGTGATAAAGCCTAATGGTTTTCCAATGATGATGGGTTTATTTTATATCAAGGTAACATTTTAGAGTACTAATACTCTAAAAGTGTATTCTGTGATATGTATAAAATTGATCGGAAATTAAATTTAAATTGTATTTCATGTATATCAAAATTACTTTTTATTTTATGAGAAAAGCACAAAATTGAAAAAAAAACTGAATTTACGGTATAATAAACCGGTGTATTAATTTTAGCTGCAATAAATATATTTTTGAGATTTAATATTAAAACAATTCTAGTTTTAAAAAGATACACACATACATCCACTGAAATAATGTTTTTTAAATTGAAATTTTAGTGAGATAATATGTATGATAAAGATCTACTACCAATTTTTACCAACTGTATATAAAACTTTTAAAATATCTAATTCAACTTTTAACAGATTGTCATTCTAACATAACAGCATTACAAATACATTTAATTCAAAAAAACATTGAATAATTTTCATTTGTGTAATCATCTGTTAATGTTTATACTAATATTTATAGATTTATGAATTTGTATTAGTTTATGAAAAATATATAAATTATATATCATTATATAACATTATAGTCATTATACTTGACCGCAAATTTACAATAACTATACTAATGATTAACTGGTTTATTTGGCTTTAAATTACAATAAATAATCGTTTGTGGAGAAATTGTAATTTTACTTGAACACATATCTACAATTTCATTAACTCTAATTCAATTTCATAAACTTAAAGCATTTTAATTGTATTTCGTAGGTATGGGAGTCCTCATCATAGTCGATCACAAAGTGTTCGAACGCCTGGCAGCAAAAGCACGGTACAATTGCAATTGGGACCCAACGGTATACCTAAAAACCGTTCCAACCAACTGACCTTGCCACAACAAAGGTCCAGAGTTGCTAGTATGCCAAATACTGGTGTCGAAGAAGAATATTATCGAATCCGTCAGTTTTCAATTTCTGGTAAAGGGATTATCAACCGAGGGGATTCGCTAAAAAGTCGAAGATCAAAATCTAATAACAGTGTTGCATCCAGTAATTCCAGGTAAATTAAATTGAATTCAAATTATACTTAAAATTGTTGATGTCAATACATTAAATAGGCTTATGGAAATATGAAAATTAAACTGTTAATAAATTTGAGATTACAAAAGCCACTATGTTTTTTTTTATTTTATGAATTTCATTGTTAAACTTATCATATTTACTTATATTGAAATAGGTTCTAATTGCTTATAATTAATAAATTATTTTTTTAATATCATTATTTTAAATAAATTTGTAAATACAAATTTTAATAATAAAATCGTACACTTTTTCAAGATCAGTATAAATAGTAAGAATATTAAATTTTTTATAATTTTAATAGGTACGTTTTAGATAATAAACTGCTAATTCTTGTATGTTAGCATGTAACACATTTATCTTGATTTTTTCAAACTTTTTATTTATCATACTTACTTTTTTAAATCATTACTTTTTTGTTTTTTTTTTATTTTTCATTCATCTTTCTCAAATATATAGACCCAGCCACATTTAATCTGCATCCCCATAGGGCTTTCAAGTTTTCAAATTAATGCAGCTCTTTTTATTTATTTAAATATAACTTGTATTTTATAAGTACGTATTAAAACAGCTAAATATAAAAAATTATAAATATGGATATTCTTCACAACAGTTTATACATTTTTGCTACCCAATTAAAAATTGTATAATTATATGATTTAAATTTATCGTTTGAAACATCAAACAGTATATATATATATTAAAAAATATATTTTATCAATGTCAGATTATCGACATTATAAGCTTTTTACTAAAGAATAATTTATGGATGGTATGCAAACAATTATGCATTACAAATTTACTATAATATAGTTTTACTTAAATAATATTAATGATTAACTTAATATTGCAAGGGAGTAATGTTTAATTTATTTTAAATATGTAATATATTTCTATAACGGAATTCACTTTTTCACAATTTGTACTAAATTTACTTTTTAAATTTTAAATAAATATACATGCAAATTACAAATTGTAAACATTTAATAATAATTTAGTAAAATATTTCTACTAATTAATTAGTAGAACTATTACGAAATATACGTACATTCTAATAAAACTTTTATTTATAAATTATGGCATGGTCAAAAGTTATCTGGCCGTAATTTTATATAGGCATTTGATAACACAAAAACTATTGTTCTTTATTCTTTGTAAATTAATGGCCTCAGCAGAATGTTTATTGCGATTTTATTTTGATTGGGATGCTGTATAATGTAGTGACATCTGCTTTTATTGCACCACAGCTGCGTAACCACATTGTGGTCAAATCACTATTACTCAAAATCTTTGATTTTAGTGTTATGCGTTTGAAATGTTTTTTTTTATTATTAATATTTGATTTAAGTCAATAAACTTAATGTTTTTAGTACATACAATACAAAATAAAATATATTTATTAGTTGTCTAGTTGGTCTTCCATGAAAATATCATAAGATAAATGTCATTTTAATCTTGACTTGGAGGTTATTTCACTTATTTTGAATTGAACAAGTTCTTTGATTTTATTTAATTTACCTTTATTAATTTATTTATCAATGCAGCAGCTTAAACTCTGTTCATTTCATAAGTTAGATTTAGTTAAAAGCTCAATCTCATTATTGTCATAATATATTACAGTAGTGAACATTTTATCTGACGAATTTAACCATGATTTAATAAGAAGAACAAACATTTATAATTGTTTTGTTAATTTGAATTTTCCAAGTTAATATTAAATTTAAGCGTACCTACCCAAAATTATTTTACTTACTCTACAAGCTTGTTTGAAATTTGAATGACATTCGTTGTGTTTTAATAAATATATTAAACCATGTATTTCCTTTATCTGACTAACATAAAATTACAGAACTAATTGATCTGTCATAAATTATTGTGCCGTTCAATAATTTAAATTTTCGATACATTTTTGGAAAACACCTATAATTTTTGTTAAGTAGCCAAAATATGCCAGTGCAACTTATTGTACAAATTATCATTAGATACGACTTGAAAATTTAATAACACTATAGCATAATATATCACTAACTACGGTTAAAATTGCACATATTGACTAGAAGTTAAGCTCATTGGCTAAAATAATAGTACTATAAAACCTATAAAAATCAGACAGATTCAATAATTCAGTTAAATTGGTTTGTAATTAACATAAGTTACCTACGAATATTTATAATTGTATGAGCAGGTTGAAGCACCTATATCATTATGATGTTTTATTTTTATTATATTTTTTCGTAAAAACAAAAACAAATTATAACTATTTTTCTGATATAATTTGGTTCTGTCCGAGTGAATTTATTATAATTGTTACATTTATTTTCCTATGAATAAAATTAACTAATTAAACAATATAAAAAATATTTGAATAAAGTCAACTAAACCTTAAGACTATAGAATGAATAAAGAACATTTAAATATTTTAAAGATTAACTTACATTAAAAAAAAAAAACTTAAAATCTTCTCGTATAGAAACATTGATACTTTAAGTAAACTAAGTTACTCTATCGTTATGCATTTAGTTAATGTTTAATATTTAACTTAATAGTTATAATATTCAAATTTTTAGTGTTGCATTATTTTTAAAAGGCTTATGTTATTATTAATTTAAGCACATAAATTATAAAATCCATAACCATTAAATATTACGTAATATTATTTTTGTAAAATTGTACCATTTTAGTATTTTCAACATAAATAAATAGCTTTGACAGGTGTTGAATAACAAATGCCTTCTCTTTTTCATCTATTTCATATTTCCACAACATAATTGAAAATGCAATACAACAAAATTGCTTTAATTACCATTCGTATGCTTTACGACTTAACTCTTAAGACAGGTGTAATTTAGTACTATTCATTACAATTCTCTCAATGGTGGTTAAAAATTACATTGTCATCTTAGTTGGTAATATATCCAAGGCCAATTTTAATTCAATAATTCATGAGATATTATGTATTTCGTTTTCAATTGTATTTAATTATCTAACATTTCAAGTGATTAAAATATTTTATTAATTACATATATTACATAAAATAAATTTTATCCATGTGCATATATTATGTTATATTATTTAAAATTTATAAACATACACCTAATATATATTATAGATGTATTAAATTTAACGACAGGTTAACTTAAAATAATGCAACTAGACTATTACTGATTAGAAATTAACAAAATATGCTTAAACAATAGAGATCCTTTCTAAAGGATACAAGAAAGTCTAAAAGGATACGTTCATTAATATTAAAATTGTATTGGGTATTTAAGATAAATTCAAGCAATCGCTAATTGTTTAGCTGATTAATTTTGACATTTTTATATAGATCATTTAACATATAAAAAATAAACATAAATAAACATAATAATTTAGAACACTTATGTTAATGTATCAGTTTATATGTAAAGTTGTGTGTGAATCCTCTAGAACAGTAATTTTTAAACTTATTTTCTTTACAGTACAAAAGCATTTGCTACTAAAAATCGTAGTACACTTTAATAAACAGATTTTAATTCCCAAAAATAAGTAAATTTAATTCTGTAATTTTACATTTTTACATTGTATTTTAAACAAACAATAATATTAAACAATTTGGTGAAGTTTTTAACAACATATAATATAGTATATATATATTTTTTTTTTTAATTAGAAAAATAAAAAATAAAGTGTAAGTTGTGCATATAAGTACTTGATAAATAAAGATAAACTTGTGAGTACACGGCATGCAATTCGAACATATTTTTTTTTTTTACATGCAATTCAGATGCAGCTGTAAATATACGATTACTTTTTTTGTTTTTATTTATCAACAAAATTCATAAATATATAAACCGAATAAATTCAATATTTTTTTTATAAAATAAACATATTTTATTTACGTATCCCAGATATTATAATCAAGTTGAAAAAATACAATTAGCAAATTAATTTTAAAAAAAATAAAATGCAATCATTTTAAATTCGATTTTTTTTTTTTTTTATCAAAAAGTAATGTCATTTATATCTGAACAATATTATAAAATTACCTAATAATCTATTCAAAACAAAATATTCTGATTTTAGATTTATCATATTTCCAAAAAAACTTTTCGTCCATTTAAATACATACACCTAACAAATAACAACAAAACATAAACTTTTCAAAATAAATTTCAGTTATTTGTCCCACATGGCCACATTTAATAAACAAATGTCTCGTACAACTATTTAGTATATTTTATTCAAACTTATATATATATATAAGTCGTGTACAATCACACATAAAATTATAATTCGTATTGGTACAATGTTTTCATACATAATCATGATAATATATAACTAGTTAAAAGTAAAATAATGAGCTACATGCATATGTACACTGTACAATGATGTATCTAAATTAAACATAGGAAAAACCTTTCTGTTTTCACAATAATATTTCATTTTGAATGAGATTAATATGAATTAAAACATTAAAATAAAAATGTGCATAAAAAAAAATAATTATATAAAATGTTTTTACTTTTTTTATTTAAATTTAGAATTTATATAATTTTTAAATATATATTTTATTTTTAAATAAGTATAAATTATGTTTAAATGTTGTTAAAATAAGATAAAATAAATAAAATAAATAATAAATCATTCTTATTAAACAAAAATTTTATTTCTGTATTTATTTTTAATTTTGTTCTAAAAATCAATTTAATTTTTTTATCATATAATATGAATTTTATATTTTATTAAAAAAAAAAATCTAAATTATCTTGATGGTAGTATAAGACATAATAAATTACAACCAAAGTTTTTGTCTAAATTTTATTCTAACATTTGACTTAATATTATTAAAAGACTTATTTAAAACACACAAACATTTAGAAATCAAAATCAAAAATTCATTATTTTTCGTTTAAAAATCATAATTTCAGTTATTACATTTAAGCGATATCGTTTAAGTAAAATTATATACTGGATCAATACTTAAGCTACCTAATTTCTTAAAAAGAAATCAAACAATTATTTTTTACTTCTACTATTTCGTTTATAGCTGTTTTAGTGAAAAGTAATTACTCCACGAAATTGCAACCACTGTAAAAAGAAACTCTGAGATAATTTGACATCACCAATTGTATTAAATTCAGATATGATACTACCACGGATTATATTTGGACACGCATTACTATCTAGACATTTATTTGCTCATAACAGTCACAAACTAAATAAAGTATTACGAAATTGAACGAAACCTATAATATATATTTATATATATATTTAAGACAACTGACCACTTATTTTTATTAAATTGATAATGTGATTTCATACTTTTGATGAATAGTTATAGTTATTTCTGTCACACAATAATATTATTATTAAACAACTGAGTCTCTTATACCCAGCAGCCATTGTATGCATTGTTAAAGACATTTATATACTTAATTACAACACAAATTATATGTGTTACTATTATTTTTTGAACTTCTAATTTTTTATAAATAACAATTTATTATTTAATAAAGATTTTTAATTCCTCATTTCAAATTTATAATAATATTAGTGTATTTTAAATATTCACTTAATCGTTTTCATTGAAAACTTAAGGCTTTGTCCCCCATAACAAGATAAAAATAATAGTGTCTGGTTTTTCAGCACCGAACACTTGACAACTTCCAACTACACGGTAATCGGCGTAGGCTGTGGTGGTCCTGGAGGCGGTGGTGGTGGTGGTGGTGGTGGCGGCGGAGGCTCCTACCCGGGATCGGCGAGAACTAGTGCCGGCACGTCATTGGCGTCTTCCAGAGAGTCCAGTTGCGCCAGTTGTCCAGGCATTACCCAGCCGTTTCGCATAGCCATGTTGGGAGCTACGGGCGTGGGCAAGACATCGTTAGTGTGTCAGTTCATGACATCCGAGTCACTGCACATTTACGACGCTTCAATAGGTGAGTGCATTCTCATCAATTTTAGTCCGTATGTACTGTACGAATAGGTGGGTTACTGGTCTGGAAGAATTTTTCAGATATGATACTCGACGTAAAACTTGTCCCGGACGACGTTGATAGGAACCATTATGTTAAATACGTTTTTAGAGCAATTGGCTGTATTTACTTACTAACATAAACATTAATATTATGTATACTACCAGAGTACTATTGAGAAAAGAAACATTTTTTTTTATTATTCAATTATACATACGGTTAGTAAGAAAAAAAGAGTAGATAATTATCCAGTAGTTTATTTATCTCTTTTATGCCTATAATACCTTTTACCATTTCTACGCTGAGTATAAAGGTAATCTGACTACCTACTCGTTTTATACACAATAAATTATAATCGATTATTGATACTGGTATATTGACTTTCGTCTGATAATGATACGTGAAAGGTTTATTTTGTCATGAAAATTATTATCGTTTTTCTTTGATAAACTATAAGCACAAAATTATCATTGATCTATTTAAGTACTATCTGTAAAAGTATGATAACACTTACCATAGTCACTAGTGGCTGTATAAAATATTGTTTATTATTTAAATAATAATAAATCTTCACTTCGATACCTACTTAAAAATTAGAATACTGTTGTAAGTACTTCAATAAAACACTATTTATTAAACTCTATTCGTGATTATTTATTATTATCAACTTCAATCAAATCGATTTAACAAACATTTAAAATATTTTAATTATATATTCGTGAAATGTTTAGTTTACAATGTGTCAAATCAACTTATAAAAAAAAAAACGTATATTTTTAATTTTAATAAGTTTGATATTATAATAATATTCAAGATATTTAACTGTAATATTGGAAATGATACATATTAACCGATGTATAAATATACTTTAACAGGGGCAAACGATAATTTATTGTAAGTAATTTAATAGTATTCCATATAATGGTAGATGGCATTTTGACATCACGATTAAAAACTTCTTATGTCAAGCATAAAATAAAATGGTTTAATGTTAGTTTATCTATTGAGCGCTATTATTTCGACTAAAAAGATTTATTATTTATTTTATTCTTTATTTCTATACAAATTAAATATAACTACTTGTGTATAGTATTTGTCAAAGTTAAAAAATTATAGGTCTTTCAGTTATATAATGACATTAAAACATATAAACTTATTTTTAGTTAAAAGTTTAACACCTTCTATTTTTAAACAAAATTTTAAATGACAAAAAAAATAAACAAACAAACAATTTCACTTTTTGTATTACCAAAATTACAGTATTTCTAAATTAGTAGATTATAATAATCAATCTAAGAAATCTTGGGCAGTATTAAATCCTAAAATTTATAATTTTTAAATATTATTTTAAAATATTTAAAAATAGTAAAACAGTACTTTAAACTACTTCTTTTAAATGATTTTAAGCAAAACTATTATCTGATAAATTCATTAAAAAAATAAAGTTGTATTTCATTGTTCATTATATTTTAATCTAACATACTTACTCTAATAAAGCATAAAATTCACACAAAAAACGTAAACTTAAATTTATCTAATAATTTTATTTTAGGTTATGTAAGATGAAACAATAACGTATTGATTTAAAAATATAATGTAATTTTTTATCTCATAACAAATTAAATTAAATTTGTACTTTGGGAATCAAAAATAAAATTCACAGTACTTACTTTTCAAATAAATCATAAAACTAAAAATTAAAACCTAGAAAAATGACAATAATTAATATATTAATATTTGTAAATAATTTTTTTCTGAGTTATAATGATTGAACATATAACAATATATAATATTTCATGCTATATAAATCTAAATTATTGTTAATTTTGCTTTATTATTTCCCCACATAAGTTAAAAAGATATATAATTTTACCATTTTTATCTTACCTATATTGCATACATTAAAACAATTAGTATACACAACAACCATATAATATAGACTTTGAATAAAATCTATTTACATATATCATACACGTTTAAAAAAAAATCTTTAATGCATTTTATCTTTAGTGCAACATATATTGTACAGCTGTATATTAAAAATTACTAAGATAATCTAAAATAAATATTTTCAACACTTGAAATATTTAACCTACCATAAAATATAGAATACAAGTTAACTTAAAATTAAAAATATTGTATTCAATTTAAAAAAATAAGTATTTAAAACTAATAACTATTAATTGCTATTAAATTTGAAAATGTTTAAACGTTAAAAACAAAGTATTTGGTTCTTTTTAAACTTAAATTAATGTTTTTTTTTTTTTAAATATAAATGTCAGAGCATTTAAAGATAATAAGTAAAATGTGTGTTTTTATCCTAAGACACTGTCTATTTACAAGGTTATACTATATACTGTATATTATATTTTTTTCTTATTTTTAAAAAAAATTTGTATTTAATTATAATATTTAAATTTTATATGTTTAGATTATTGAAAAAATTGTATTCTTTATAATTTCTACTTTTTGAAAACAACTATTATGTTTTTTTTTATAATCATTTTAGTATTATTTAATGTACTTTGTTTAGTTTCTACTCTGTTATTCACTAGTTCAAGAAACTTTAAAGTTGCATGTTACCTTGATTATAATTATAATTGAATTCCTAACAGAACATTTAAAAATAGATACAATCTATCAATATAATTGACTTTTTTTATTAATGTTTCAATATTTTTTCTTGGTATTTTAATTATTCAGAACATTTTTTTTTACATTAAAAGTTTTTAATTTCAAAGCTATAATGCACGATAATACTATTATTTATGTGGCCAAAATTTAAATTAATTTTTTATTTCTTTAATATTTAAATTATTATTGAGTAAATAAATGTATTTGACTATTATATGGTATTTAAATATTTTAAATTATAATTAGGTATTAGCTATATTAATCAGTGAACTGTTTATTTTATTTTCTAAGTAATGGAAAGAAACAATATTCTCTTAAACTTCAACAAGTAAAAATATATTTTTCACGCATAATATTTACTATATTATTACTAATTTGAGAAACAAAAACGTAAAAGATCCTGACAAAAATGATTGAACTAAATAAAACCAAACGTAAGAATGGTTAATAAATCTAAGAAATTATAAGTCTTCATATACCGGCAAAGCTGGATAAGTTTAGTTGAAGCTGACAAGAGTCTCAAAAGCATGAATAGCAATAATAAATACTCTTAATCTTGAGCATACTATATACTGTGAAGAAAAACATCATCTTATATGTAGTATACGAAAATCTATACTGAAGTTTTATCGTAGAACAAGTTTATTATTATTCTATAAAATTGATCTAATTAAAGTTGAAGCATATATTCGAGACCTTAATGAATAAAAGTTTCTATAATCAAACAGCTGATTAATAAAATTGAACAAATGTAATTATTTGTGCTATTCTATGTACTTATGAACTTTTATACGAATTGAACTTTTCCTGTTGTTAATAACTTGTTAAGCTCTAGTACATTTAATACGATAACATTTTTGATTGGTTTTATAACCACATTCTTATGATTTATGGGAATCTATTATTGTCAGCCCGTCCCTAATATCTCTACAGATTATAGCATATTATGGAAAACTAGTGTGAAGATTGTTTATAGATGAGAATAGGTTTTAAATTTTGTTGCGATTAGTTCACTAAAATTTAAACACTTGTCATTATTGATAAAGAAAAAAAATAATTTAAACTATTATTATTGTTCAGATTTAAAACACTCTTAAGTAAGGATGCTAAAAGTGTTTTATTACTTTTACCCATAATAAGGTCAGCCATTAATAAAGGTCCTAAAGAGAAACAGAGATGTTATAGATAAGGTTTTTTTTTATGAGCAACTTAGTAAGCCTAATGCTCACCAATTTTTATAAATCCTAACTGAAGAATGACACGCAAAGTTACATGGATAATCATCCACTCATCCATCTATGTACTACGCCCATATTCGATAAACATTCCATTATACATTTCAAGGATTATATGCTTTCAACCCAAGCCACTCCATCACAGACGATCTTTTAAAAGTTAAAAAGCGTGTCCATGTTATTAGCTTTTCAAAATATATTTATATACATATGTTTATGGTTCAAAATATTGAATAACAGTATTATGTATACCTTATTATAACTAAATATATATATATGTTTATACAATCACACACATACCAATGCATATTGATTTTTATTTTTAACCCAAAACTAAAAGTCAATTAATTCTTGTATTAAATCTACTATCTATACACATATTTTAGATTGTATTATTGTTTTACGATTTTATTGACATTCGCTTCAATTATCACGTTAACATCAATAATTACAAACACAAAATGTGTATATTATAATATAATATAGAATAATCCTTTTAAGTGTTAAAGGTAAAATCTAGTTTTTTCTAAAAGTTTTAATGTATTTAGAAATATATTTTTTAAATAAATTGAAATTGAAAATAAAATGGAAATGTTTATGCAAAACTAGTTTTCGACAAATTAACCTATTGACTCAAAAGTTTAAAAGTATTTATTTTTTTTTTTTTTATACTGAAATATTATTGTGTGAATTAAATTAAGTTAAATAATTCGGACATTTTTCAAAAATATTTTTATAATATTAATAAATATAAATAAAAAATATACTTAGTACTACAGTTTAACAAAATGTCTTAACTCAAAATCATGTTTATGTGATTTTTATGAGTATGTCAGAAATATATTATTGTTTTTTAATGAGAATGTTTACTCAAAACCAGTTTTTGATTAAATTTATATTATCTTTTTGATACATTTTTAAAATACTTTAAAACAAATAACCGTAGATACTTTAAAAATATTTATATTAGCATCTTATATGCATAATACAATTTATTCTCACGCTTTCTAATTTATTTCTAAATATTTGTCTTTTAATTATTGCTAGAGTTGTAGATAAAAAATATTTTTGCTCGGTCAAAAATCTCAAATATTT